ATGGTCTAGCGCGATCGCAATGAATGAGCCGACGACGTGAAACATGAAAAAGAAAAACTTTTCCTTCTTTCAGGAAGCGGGAAGCGCCAACTCCTCAACGCCTAGAAGAGGTGCGCGTCGATCTGCTCGCCCTGCTGCTCGCCCTACCGCTGCTCGTCGACGTCGACGATGTGGAGAATTTGGCCCTTTTCGCAACAGGCTGCTGCAACTTCGGCTTGCTCTTGCTGGGAGCTGCAGCCGCAGCCGCAATTCGGCGGCTCTTGGGTGCTGCGCCTCTAGCCTTCTTCGCACCGACGACAACCTCTTCCTCTTCCTCGCTCTCCTCCAGCTCATCCCACTCTTCCTCCTCATCCTCCTCCTCCTCCTCATCCGTCTCGTCAGCCGCGCCTCGTTTCGCAGCAGCAGCAGCAGGTGCAGCTTTGCGCTTCTTGGACACCGATGCCGATGTCGATGTCGAAGCTTTCGAAGCTTTGGAAGCGCTGCCGCTGCCGCTGCCAGTCTTGGCGGATCTGGGCGTATTCGCAACCGATCGACGCGCAGGAGTGGAAGCTGCCGATCTCCCACCCTTTGCTGGCGAAGCGACCGCTCGACCAGTCGAAGACTTGCCCTTTCGCGGGCTAGCAATTGGCGGAGCTTTCGCTTGCGAATGGCGCCTAGCCACCTGCTTTCTTCCACCACTCGCTCGAGCCGCGGTGGATCGATTGGGCCCCAAGACGCCTTGTCCCTTGCTCACCACCCTCAAGCCAGGAGTTTTGCGCTTGGCAATCTCCACCATCTTTTGCTGAATCAGCACTTGCCAATTCTTCCAATCTTGCAGCGCCTCTTGCGCTCCGTTCATCAAGCTGTGCTCCGGCTCCCACGTATCGTCCTCGGGCGGATAGCCGACCCACCTGACGCGATACTTGTTGCCCTTTGCGTCGGCCACCTTCTCCACCTCGTACGCATCTTCTTCCGGAGCAGGTGGCGGCAAGATATTCTCCTCGCTATCTGCCGGCCATTCGGGCGCCACCACAGCATCCGTCACAGCAGCGTCGAAATCTGGCGGTGCCTGAATGGGTATGCCCTTGGAGGTTTGTACGCGCAGGTATCGATGGTGCCAGCCTAGAGTTGCGCGCGCGCGTTATCAGCGGCAAAACTCAATGGCAGCAACAAGAGTCGCGACAAGAAACTCACAAAGAGCATTCTCGAAATCCAATACTCGCAAGCCAGGTCGCAAGCCGGGCGCATGAGGCGGCGCTTCACCCAGTCGAGCCCAATACTTCCACTGGTTGCGTTCCAGCCATCGCAGCGCAGCATTGTCCATGATGGTGCTATTGATGGGAGGTCCAAAGATTCTTCGCAGACCCTCGCGCGATCCCGGACCGCACGAAGCAAAGTCTCTAGCTGCCAACTTGAGCGTGGGGGATTTGATGAGGTCCATGACGAGGTTCATGGAGAGGAATCCACCCATGCCCGGGATGCTCTGCACCAAAGCCGACGCGTCGCAGAGGTACTTGCACTCTTTTAGCCTGCCGGCCAGGTCCACTTCGAGCATGACTTGCACCATCTTGAGCGAAGCAGTGTGGCCGCTCATCGTGCTGCTAGTAGCGCCAAAGAAGTGACGCGGCGGAACCATTTGAAATTCGCTAGAGTAGATGATGTCTCCTCGCGCAACGATGGGATCCAGTATCTGAGAGTATCGCTTGACATCGAAATTCTTCAGCGACGGCACCTCGTCCAGCTCCACCTCCCACCTGTTCCAAGTACGGCGATTGCAAAACGCATTGTTCAAAAAGATTCTGAAGCAAATCTCTTCGTGCGACTGGTCTCCCTTGCTGATCACGTCTTGCTGCATCGCGATGCTTCCGCGGTCGAGCTGTATTCGGGGGGGTGGGGGGGGAGAGAAATGGAGCGAGGGTGAGTCGAGCATGTTTAGCTGGCGCGCAAAGAAAGCCGCTTCTCACCTGTCTGAACACGTTTCCGTAACGTCCCTCTGGTATGATGGGATCGTCGGTCCAAGGTTTGGCCTGGTTGAGCACCTCTTTGCGGTGCCACACCTTGTGTCTCTCTGCGCAGTAGCGCAAAAAGTGATAGATGATGTCGCTGATGGGTGTCTCGACGGGCGTATAGGGCGCTTGAGGCTCGAGCAGAGCAGATTCGCTGTGATCCAATTGATTGACTTTTGCTTCGACTGCTTCGTCCAATTCGTTTTGCACCTGCTTGTCGGTTCCTGTGCGGAGGTGCATGAGCGTTACGGAGACCGCGCCCATCAGCGGCTTGTGCAGAAGGCGATCCCGGAGAACGGGCCATCACGCCGGGAGTCTTTTCTTCGCGTCCAGATTGACGTGGTCACTCACTTGGATCAGCGCTGGGCGGAACGATTGGCGTATCGTCGACGGGTCCAGTGGGCGTTGCAGCTCCAACTTCGGCCTCCGCCTCGACTTTTGCATCCACACTCTCCTCGATCGGCGGGGCGTGCGCGGCAGTCAGAGAGACGACCCCCTCGCCGTCTCTTTCGGTCTCGGCATCGGGTATTGGTGCAACTTGATGCTCATCCACTTGCATCGCCACAGCCTCAGCAGCGTCAATCTCGTCGGTGCCGCGTAGTCGCTGCTCCTCCGAGGCAGCAATCGCGGCAGCATCAACCTCTTTCGCCTTCTCCGATGGCATCGTCTGCTCCTCTGAGGCAGCAATCGCGGCAGCATCAGCCTCTCCCGCCCTCTCAGCTGGCATCTCCTCCGGTACGAGGACACGCTGCGGTTCTTGGTCCTTCAAGACTTCAAGGTCATCATTCGCAGACACGACCAAGCTCTCTGCAGCAGGATGCTCGACACCGTCGTTGATGAGTCCAAGGAGCGGCTCGAGAGCGACTGCTCTCTGCGATCCCTGCAGCTCCGCGGGCCCGCTGTCCTCTTCGCCTTTCTGCGCTTCCAGGTGTGGCCTCTCAGCATCGAGCGGCACGTAGCCAGGCTGTGCAGAGACATCTATACTGGCATCCGCAGCCAAGGGTGCCGCATCGCTGCCTGCAGCAGCAGCGAGCGCTTCCGTTTCCGTCTTGAGGACAGAAATGTCATCCATAGAAGTCGGCTCTTGCGCCTTCACCTCGACCTCGGTCCCCACAGCTTCCTGTTCCTGCAAAATTGGCAAAGAATGCTGCCCTACTTGCGCAGGAAAAGTCTCTCGCTGTGCTTCTGCTGCTCCTTCTTGCTGCTGCCGCTGCTCCATAGACTTCTCGAAAATCGGCTCTGCGGGCGCCATCTCTGCCTCTGCTGGCGCTTGCTCCCCCGCTGCCCCGCTCCCCGCTTGCGACGCTGACGCTTCTCCAACTCCTGGCGCTTGCCGTAGCGCATCTGCAACCTCTTGCGCCTGCCGAGGTGCATCTGCATCTGAGCTCCCTTGCGGCAACGCCTCGTGCTGCCCTTGCTGCACACGCTCTTGTCCATTCAGTGCAGGAAACGCAGCATCTGTAGGTGCAGGTCGCCCTAGCAGCGATTCGAGCTCCTCTTTGTGCTGCTCATCCTCGTGCTCGTGCTCGTGTCCATGCCCACCAAGCGCCGCTGCATACCGTTCCACTTCCATACTTGAGCCCTGCATGACTTGGTGCAAGAGCGCAAGCTGGTAAGTGCGGCTACTTGAGAGTGGGGCTGAGCGAGTGGAGCCGAGTACGGGGGCTAGTAGTAGCGGGGAAGTTGGGGGGGGGGGGGGGGATTGTATGGGCGGGGTGTGGATGGGCTGGATGCGCACTTTGATGGGATGTATGCGCCGGACGTGCGCTGAATGCGCGCTTTGGAGCGAAAGTGAAAGCTTGCTCGGGGGTCACGAG